TACTTTTTGACTCTTTGGAGGTATTCGAGTTATTAATTGATAGGATTATTGTACGCTTCCACCGAGTTTATTTTTTTGGGAAATACGTAAATATTCAATATGTCCTACTGATAGATTTTGCATCTGGTATATGGTATGCATAGGTTATTTCAATCTATCTACGTCCGCTCTTTCAATGCCCTGGTATATTTGCATATTATATGCACTTGTAGATATATGCTAGGGTATTCCAGATACTCAGTGTTCAATGAGGAAGGTTAAAATGATAGCAATGAGGTAACAAGGCTACCTTACCTATAGGAAATCGATATTGGAGTATACCGGGTGGAACATGGATCTGGATGACGGGTTGTACTAATGAACTTTGATGAAATGTCTAAAATGCAATAAAGGCTGTTTCATAAGATTCCATCCGAGCCAGAAATCTCTTCCGAATGTATGATAAATCCGAATGAAGGTGATGAAAAATTAGTTGAAAAGTTGCATGCCAATTTATCGTGGAAGAAATCAATGTTGTGTTATCGGTTCCTGTATACGGTCATCACCAGCTAATTTGGGAAGCTGAATGCGAATACCATCATGAATGAATTCTGAGTTGTTATGTGCCTGGGCGACTGGATTTGGGATAAAAAAATGGAATTACCCATCAAAAAACTGGCATTGGATTCGACATCTACGCATCCGCTTTAATACGTAATAAGTTGATACAGAGACCATAGGTGCGTAATCAGTTGCGATACATCTCCAATATTTCAAAAACGGATCAAATGGGCTCTGTATTCAGATCCAGCGACCTAAAAAGCTAATCGTGGCTGAGTTTTTGTCCCTTTCCTTCTTATCAAACTGCTCCTACTCATGGTTGAGATTATTATGAGATCGAATACACGCAAAGCAGTCATTAGCAATGCATATTTTTGGAAATCGTCTTCACTCGTCCCTTCCCAAACGTGTATGGTTGTCACTGTTCCTGTTTTTGATTTCTTAAGAACAGCTGGATATCTGAAGATTAGAGGGTCTAAAACATACAATACTTTTTCAATAGCTAGTTTTGAAAGGTTACTAAAGCTATTGGTTGCGTTAGCACAGAGACGAATCAGGAAGACAACATATACTCTTATTCAACATTTAAATGCAGTTGTACCTGTACCTACATGGATTCATAGACGAGTTATTTGCATAAATAAAAATACTCATTATTCATCATGTATGCGTTTTGAAGGACTATCAAACCTAAAAGTGTTCAAAGGAAGTTCTGTGCGCTTTATTATTATTATGATTATTACTATTACTATGAGTGTTGCCTCTTGTTGACGTTCGACAGTGTTGCCCAAAGTTCTATCAGTGTCGCATGCGGATCTTGTTCGCCTATGTGGCATGCCCTTTGTCGTACATGTTGAGGCATGCAACTTCACGATTCAATTCAGGCAACTTCAGTTTAGTACGTCATGTCATTACAAACAGTCGCGGCGGTTGATTATTTAGTAATTACTTTGGATCGGAAAATAAAAAGGAAAACGCCAGAATATTGGAGGAGAAATATAGATCTCCTTCTTGCAGGGCGATGATCCACTCTTTTTTTAACATAATTTTTGTCGTTCCCGAACGCAAATTATCTTTTCAATTTTCACTATCGAACAGTTGTATTTTCCAATTTATCGAAATTAACCATTAATAAATAGGCCAACTATTTTTGAAACATCATCGTACAGGGCCTGCCGTAATTATATTTACCTGACAATTCCCGTGATTTATCCTGTTTTAGTCGCGCATCTTTATATCTTTTCGATTTGTTGTTACATAATTCACCCGAATTATGGTAATCTTCAATTAAACAATGTTTTTTAATTGGTGCATTACATTTTGTCGCCAGCTCCAAGTCGCACCGATCCAAACGGGTTTGGATAGCCGGCGACACTGATCAACATGTGGATTCATGTCGCTGACGGCGCCCTCGAGAAGCAACGGGCAGCTTGTGGCATGCGACAAGCAGACATTTTTTGTCCTTTTGTGTTGCCTCTATGGAAAGACAGTGTGCCGCATGCATCAATGCCGTATACTACATGTTGCACAAAAGTTGCCCCAGTCAAATTGCGGCTTCAAGCCTTTTTTCGTATAGATACACTAAAATGACCTGCCTAATGCGCTCCACACATTGGCCACATTCTATCTTAATTTCTTTATCTTTTTTAAGAAGTCGCTCAGTATCAATATAAATATTTACCAAATGGATCATTTAAATACGTACGAACTGTCAAATGTCGCACTATTCTAAAAACATACAACGGAGTAGTGTTGAGCTATTGTTTCTGTATCTGGAACATCCTCATCTTATCAGTGTAAGTATTGATTATAATTTTATATCTTCGGTATTACATCATAGCATGCAACTCATCATAAACGCAGTTTTGTAATAAATAATCGGCTATTATGGACATGCTAGATAGTTCAGCTCTTTCCTGAATAAAACTAGATATTTCTTCATAAGTTGCAACAAGTGACTAGAAGATTTTCCAATGAGGAACATAAATATAAATAGCATCTATTTACGGGAAATGAATAGTTTTTTAGGTGTATAAGCGGTTGATGGCTCCGGGATTTGGATTGATGCCTAAAAAGGGAGGAAGTTTAATACAGCATACAAGGCGGTTTGAAACAAAAAAATACTCAACCTTGTGTTTCAGACCTAAAAATACGGGAATAACTAAAATTAGTAGAAATACTAGTAATAAACAGACGCGAACTTACACCGATAGAGCACCGTTCAGAATGTCTTCTCCCAGGGCTCATACCTGGCTAACCACATAACACAACACAGCAGGTGCCGTCGATGCATTTAAATAAACCGACCATTATCCGACATTCCTGATAATATTGAGATTGTATCTAATGAGGAGAATTGTTATAAACCCTTAAATTTGTCCCACATACCTTGAAAATATAAAGTATAAAGTTGTGGTACAAGCTTTTAAATAAAATATGTGATTTGGCTGATAAATAGATTAATATGGGTTAACAAATATTTTATAGTAAAAAAATATAAAATAGAAATAATAAATTCCAAATTTAATACAGATCATAGCTGAAATAACAATTGCAGTTTGTACATATAAAATGGGCTCGCATCATCCGCAAATCACATGCCACCAGCCGCTTACCTATACCAGCTAATCTGCTAGATGCAATCACATTGTCCATTTAGCCTACCCACCCACAGAGTTGTCTGCCTCAGAATCACACTGCTACCCCAGTCACTGTTCCACATCAGCCAATAACGGATTGTACCTGTACTGCCCCGTGAGAATAAGCATATATTGGCAATAATTTACGAACGCTTTCCAACCGTCAAATTCAGTTGGATAAGTTAATATTCAAGTATTTAGCTTGTTCTACTTGCCATAACATCCCTACATAACTAATGTATAAGTCCGCGCCAACCCCATGCTTCATGCCAGCCAGCCTGCTAGTTCACATTGACCTCCCAGCTTCTCAACCAAAGGAGTGCAAGACCCCTTTGTTGCTCTTTTCGGGAACAGCCGATTCACTGCTCCAGTACGGATTTTGTATGATGTGACTTCAATGTTTACCTCTAATTCGAAATCCCGCCAGCAGCAAATCGGATGCCTCCAAGACACGATGTTGGTACCATTTTTTTTAAGTTTTACTTTTCGATAGCTTAACCACTTTTTAGCAGAATCTTGTGTTCAGTTCTACCTGTGGGCACATCAGTCTCATCAGTGTCTCCAGCAATTATTTCAAAAACCAACTGATACATCAGACAATATTGAACTCAAATAATGTCTACTCAACAAAATTACTACCAGAAATTTCGATTACACAAAAGTTCTTCTAAAGTAAGATCCCAATGCTGCCAGACATTACCTACCTTCCTAGTGCATTGAATGGCATTTATATGCACTTTCAATGCCTGCGTACCCGCTAACTTGGCTGGTCGTCCGCACCCATATTACGTAACTAAAAATTATATCGATTTTTATGTTTATGACACTATCTAGGAATTCCAGAAAAGTCCAGTTGGAACTAGCTGTCATTCACCTCACGTTCACGTTTAGTAACCGTATGTGTTGCCTAAACGTCATCACGCTTGAGCTATATGATTTGACTCGGATGTGATGTTACCTCTGCTTCAGAGACGACACTCGTTTATAGATTCTATTACATTCTATACTATAGGTCGTTGTACCATTCCTCCCTAGGTTTACAAATACATATGTACTTCTGAGGAAAGGGAATAAATACGTGGAGAAGGATAGGGGACGTAGTATGAAACTTTTTTACACAGTATTATTGTCATTATGAGACATAAGTGCACAGGGCACATGAATTTTGGAGGCTGGGTTTGACATCGCTGGCTTGGCTGGCTGATTGAATGATCTGTTTTGGTCAACATCAGCTTCACTGATCTGCCTTTCTCGGTGTTTCTGTGTGTCGATACTAAGAAGTACTTTTCTCCGCATGATCTTCTCACTCTATACAAAGCCCAGATAAGGCCTAGCCTCGAGTATTGCTCACACGTTTGGGGTGCTGCCGCCTCGACTACATTATTTATGCTGGATGCTGTGCAGAGGAGGGCTGTCCGACTGATCGATAGCTCTTCTCTAATAGATAGTCTCGGGACCCATTCGCACCGACAGGCGGTCAGCGATCTAGCTCTTTTCTACCGCTACACCAGCTGGCTTTGCTCCTCAGAGCTCTCTTTCATGAGCCCGCCGCACGATGTGCCTGCCAGATAGACTCGCCTGACTTTGGCGTCCCATCCTAACCGTGTCGAACTTCGTACAACCAGAACTGGCCGATACGACCGCTCCTTTGTCCCGAGGGTGTCGAAACTGCGGAACAATCTTCAAGAGGAAGCTTTTCCCAGTACTAACCGTAGGTAGTTCAATAATCGCATTAACAAAATTTCGTTCGGATCATCATAGCAACCGCGGTGTTCCGGAATTTAGGCTTCTGCCTGCGCGGCCGTTTCGGTATAAAAACACATTAAGAGCAACTTGTCGAACACTTAACTGAGACTTGTTTTGCGGCGCGACAACTTATCGCTCGTGTGTACGGGTAGTAAAATTGTTGTTATTGAATTACCCTCTATAATACATTTGGGAAAACCGTGGTAATTATATATAAAATTCATACTTTGACTTTAATTCCAGACTTACCTTTTCGCACCAAGGCAGCACCAAAACGACAACGCTATGTCCAAGGACGCAAAAAGTATGGTGTGGGACTACCTGGTGTTCGTGATCTTCGTGATTGCGAGCACCTTCGTAGCAGTGTATTCCCGTTTCTTTGGACCAAAAGAAAAGACCAAAGCTGACTATGTTTTCGCGGCTGGGAAGGTATCCATGGCTGCCATGATGCTTAGCATAGCTCGAGGGACGTTAGGTGTCAGATCTTTTCTGGGTAAGTGAAACTTATTGAAAAACTCTTGCAGTGTCATGAAACTGGCCCAGTTGAGGCAAAAAACTACTATTGCACGGGAACAAGATAAAAGCATTTTATTTTTAGACGTTGCTTAGTCGTTCTTGCAACTTTTTTTTCTGTTAATTTTAAATCACTTAATGGGTACTCATATACTTTTTTAGGATCCTTAAGTCTCATTTCTTTATTAACGTAGATCGACACTTGTTATAGGAAGTGAAACATATATGCATAATGGCACGCAGACAGTTTTGGTCTGCAAGTTTGTTCGACTAAGAGATTTATGAGTAGAAGATCAAAGCTTAAGAACGACAGAATCAATTTATTTGTCACCATTTCCTGTGTGGTTCTGACTTGTCAGGCAAATGTCACAAAACCAGTATTGTCTGTGAACCGTCAATATTTATCACGATCGTGTATCCAAGACGTCAGTGATTACTGACGTATAAGGGATAATCAATCAGTACTGATGGTACGGTGATAGATATTACGTAACTTGAAAAGTGACATTATGTCGGGTTTTTTTGACATTATGTAGGTTTTCCAATTTGACGTCAACTTGTAACTAGCTTTCGTTCATTTGATGCTCACTTGTAGCAAGCGCGGAATGAATGATTTTCACATTAGCCTACTTATTCAACAAGTTGACATTTTATATATGTTCTTGACGTTATATAGGTTTTTTAGGTAATAACGCTGCGGACCGCAGTAAATACAGATCCTGTGAGATTTTCCGTAGAATGACAAAAACCTGTTGCTTTATTTGACCGGGAGTTTAAAAGGTAAATCCAGCATGTCAACACTAAAGCTTCTTCACAGAACCGCGGACTTAAAAGCACCTCATCGGCTCGTAAATAGGATCCCTTCATGCACTTCAAACATAAATGGATATATTTGACTATTTGACACTTCTTTGACAATCTTTGATAGAAAATGTTTACTCTGTTTTCTGAAGTCTCTAAGTTTTATGCTTGTGGCTAAGTTGGATGATTTTAGGGGTTAGAGCCCTAGAGACAATGATCTTGAACCCAAATGTTTGCGCTCGCAAAATTTTCCCTCACCTAAATGCCATGCAGCTGACTTTTCTTAGAAATATTTCACATCTCAAAAGACACAAAATGTAACGTTCTCGCTCACGTCTGAATAAAATATAAAGCCTGATATACAAGGTGAGTTTTTAGTGTTCGCTCGGTTATTTTGCATGGTATCCTCGCTTGGCCTCTACATGGCGATCCATAATATGTAACCGAAACATTTTCAAATAGAATGTTCTATAGTTTATTGCAGATTAGGATCGACCCTTTCAAATGAAACAATTTTATGAAACATATTTGGGCCTTTATTTTTAAATTGTTGTGATATTTATCCAAAAAAGACTCAATTTTGACAACTCACAGTTCCGTAACTGTTGATCTCATATATTTTCCCAACCTGCTTAAGTTTTCTGGATAGTACATACAGGGTGACCAAGAACGATAAGTAAAGTATTTCTCTTTTCCACAAGCTTTTTTATATGAGTGGCTTATGGGGTCTTGTGCGAGTCGTTTTTGTGGTGCATCCAATCCTTTCTTATCCACCTATCTCGGTAAATGGAAAATATTACAACACCAACCTAAATGAAGCATTGCATCGGATTAGTAACGACAGATCGTTAAAATTTGTGTATTTTATTATTTTTATTATTATAAATTAAATCTACTCAACATTATGTAATATGCAATGAAGTCAAACAGTAAAACAATGTTAAACTGATCTTTATTAACATGAAAGGCAGGCAATTCAACACAACAACATACATGACTTAAAGTCCTAATGAGAGTTAGAAAATTAACTTCTTGCATCCTAAATATATCGTTATCGATTTCCAGACCACAGGCACATAAACCTGAAGGCTGAGAAAGTAATAGATCATCTTATTCGCAGCGGCTCAGTTACATATAAGAAAAAACGAACACAGTATTTACGTAGGAAGTGAAGTATTAGGTGTAACTAGCCGTTACTGAAGACATCACTATCAAAAATACAGAGAGGACGGCCGTTTTTGGGATGGGTAGTACTCTCCGCCTCCGTCTACGAGAGAGGTGGGGAGGGTGCCGTTTGATTCGTGAGATCCTAGCATTATTTTACCAGTTGTCGTTATGGAGCCTTGGACGGTGGAGCACCGCGTTTTCGCCTATGATTGTTTCGTCCGAAATAATGAGTCAGTCATCGTCGTACAGCGTGAGTTTCGTCGCCACATTCATCGGAATAGAGCTGTTCCCTCTCCAAACCCCATCTTTCGTTGGGTTGAATCACTTCGCAGGCGTGGTGAACTGATCAACAGAAGACCAAGAGGAGCGCCGCGAACAGTTCGAACTCCTGAAAATGTTGAACGCGTTCGACAGGTCTTTCTTCGCAGTCCGACTCGATCTGCCCGGAAGCATGCTGCTGCACTTCGCCTTAGTGATCGTTCGGTAAAGCGAATTTTGCATATGGATCTCCGCTTTCACCCCTACAAATTGGCCATTGTGCAACAGTTACAGCCCGGAGGTTATGCACAACGAATGAACTTCGCACGTGAGATGGAAGCACTGATCGATCAAAATGAGAACCTCATTTTGTTTATGAGTGACGAAGCCCACTTTCACCTAACCAGCATGGTTAACCAGCAGAATTGTCGTTATTGGGCTAATGAAAATCCGCAACAGTTACACGAAACACCGCTGCACAGCCCAAAAGTAACGGTTTGGTGCGCTGTATTGCAAACTTGCATCATTGGCCATCAATTCTTCGAAGACGGTAATGGTCGTGATGTTACCGTGAACTCAGAGCGCTACGTCGACATGATCACCAACTTCTTTCTCCCTGAATTACGCCGGCGACGTGTTCCAATCCGACGTGTGTGGTTCCAGCAGGATGGGGCGACCGCCCACACAGCCCGCTAGCATCCATGGACGTTATTCGCCCTCTCTTCCCTGGTCGCCTTATTTCCAGGTTTGGCGATGTTCATTGGCCTCCTCGGTCCCCAGATTTATCCATATACGATTTTTTCTTATGGGGACACCTCAAGGCTAGAGAATACGCGAAAAAGCCCCGAACTCTGGACGAATTGAAGGACGAAATTCGCGTGAAAGTCGCCCAAGTTGAGAGAACGATGTTGGAGAGAGTCTACGCGAACTTCCAAGAACGCCTGGAGCACTGCATCAACGATTTCGGCCACCATATGCCTGATGTGATTTTCCACACTTGACTGTCTCGAATGCTATTTCCTTGTGAACCTGATTCCATCAATAAATTTGTTTTCGAGTAAAAATTAACTATTTTATGATTTTTTTAAAACCGTCCATCCTCTCTGCCGTAGCCTGTACTAAATAAATAGGTAGGAAGATTATATGGGATCACATAATTTTTCTAAAGAAAATCCATAACGGGTGCGAATTGTCGAAGTCCTGGGGTTCTGGGACATCATATTTTGAAAAAACGGTATATTTGGCTCATCTTGTAGCTATGAATCACACGGTAGAGATAAAAGTATTTCCCAAGTACATAGTACATTGTTTGCTACAATTTTTGTAATTAACTTTTTCAGATACTATCTATAGTAATGGAGTTATCGACCGACCCTCACTAAAGACTAACCCTGTGTATAACAGATAGTCGGGGCAAATATTTTTTAACTCGATTTTTTTTCACACTCACGTTTGTTACGTAAGTAGGTAAGTCCAGAGGTTAGATCGATAACAGACTCGGAAACCTTTGGTACCGCCTAAGGAAGCCAGTTCTACTAACATCAAGCGGTTTAAAAATTGGATTAACAAGATGTTTTTAAGTTCTGCATAGCAGTCGGGATGGCCCGTCTTATGCCTACACGCCTGTTTCATTATGAAAAGGGACCGTTAGGTGACAAGCTGGTGCAGTTTTGTACTACTTTTTGAACAAATCGCAAAAAAATGTTTTAATCGGTCCTGGTAAGCTTTTTTAGATTCCCTGGGTCATTCTGAACATAAAGCTGCTTAGTAATTTTGCTCCAAATTTAACCGATTCTAAGTTATAAGCGATTGATATTCTAAAAACCCCTACAAGTGGATATTTTCAGTGCTTAAGTTTTTTTTAGAAATAGTCTGTGTAGTCTTGTAAAGAAGGATTTAAATTAAAAATACTCAATACAGACAATATAAATTTTTTTTTACAAATTTCCACCGCTAAATCTTAAGAATGTGAGCGGAAAGACGCATGCAGGATAATGGATTAAGGAACAACTAAAGCAGGTGGGTTTACGGAATAATGTAAGCCTAAACTGGCAGTCAATGCGATATTTTTAACCTACATAGTTATAAGTACTTATAGAAGGAAAAAAGTAACGCATCAAGACTTCTTTCTTATCAGCACAAGTTTCTCACTAAAATAAATGCATATCAGACAAGCTTCAGCATTTCTTTGACGCTGCTCAGACAGGCATGCCTCCTCTGTCATCTGGCTTAAACAACTGAAGGTCTGCAGCCCCTAAATCCAGCTCTGTGTATAACAGATTACTTATTTGCAGAAGCATACATGTTGTACAATCTCTAAACCATAAAATCTACAGCGCACCTAGCTTCACGAGAAAATCCTTCCTTTAGAGATAAGGCTGTTAGTCGAATATTACACAAAGAAAACAAAACAGGTAACGAGCAGACAGGCGACGACGGCTATTGGATTTATGCCTTTGACTTTTGTTTAGTGGGATAGAAAACATCTGATAGAAGTGCGAATAAAGGCAGATATGACAGAGTTGAAAGTAGGATGAGAATACTTATGAAATATACTTCCTTCCAGATGAATAGCGAATTACTCCCTTGAGCGACTGCCTACATATTAAAAATTTAATAGAACCAGTTTATCCCTGACACACTTTACCTCTGTGAACTATCCCTAATTACGTCAATACATACGCGAGCATTTGTACTGCGGAATTTAGGTTTTGCCTTCATAACAGACCCACGCACCTCTGCTACAAATATTAG